GGAAGACAAATGTGAACATTGTTGAAACAGCACCAAAGGATTTTGGAATATTACATAAACCTTAGTTGTTAAAGAGGTGGTACCAGTTCTTGAGAGAGAATTCACGTCATTCTGAAAGAAGATTCTACTGGTGGGTAAATTGCTGTCAAACAGCATCACCAAGCTTCAGAGAATCTTGTAAGAGTCATGGAGCGGCCAACTGCATTTTTGTCCTTATTTAAGAATAACCACAGCGCATAAACACCCCTTCAGCAACTTACCCACCCCAGTGATCAAAACCAGCAATGATCAAGGCAAGATGCTCCACCAGCAAAAACATTGCAACTTCTGAAGCTCAGAGTATTTTAGCATTTTTATTCAGTGAAGTATTTTAAACTGAGGCCCGTACATTGTATTTTTTAGACATAATGCTATCCTTAGTATAGTTGTAAACAACACTTGTACATGCACGGAAACCAAAATAATTCATATGACAGTCTTTATTGCAATATTTGCTTATCGCTGTGTATGGAACTATATATCTCCGAGGTATGCCTGTAATTTCTGATGTTCGTGGTGGCGCTATTCCCATAGCCTGCACTTGATGAAACACTGACCTTACAATATATTCTAAAACGTAGGGTATTTCATTTGCTCTAGGCTACAGGGACAGATACTATTTATCATTTGTACTTTGGGGTCTAGTGCTTACATTTGTATGCAGTTCAATTGTGTTGCAGTTGACTAAATGTTCGTTAAAGTACTTATGTATTTAGGTTCTTATTTATATTCTATATATGTATTTTGTTGTGTTGTTTTTTGTTTTGTTGTTTGAGACAGGAGTCTTCGCTTCTGTTGCCAGCCTGAGGTGGCCGTGGCAATCTCGATCACCTACAACCTCCGCCTCCCGGGTTCAATCCATTCTCTTGGCCTCAGTAGCTGGGATCTACAGGCATGTTGGCCACCACTCCCGGGGCTAATTTTGTTTTTTAGTAGAGACGGGGGTTTCTCCATGTTTTCAGGCTGGTCTCGAACTCCGACTTCGAGATGACCGCCCGCCTCGGGCCTCCCAGGAAGTGGGATTATATAGGCATGAGCCACCGCACCTCCGGCCCATTATGTTACTTTTCCCCATTCTGTTATTGAACTAATAAAGCATATGGAAAAAACCGAAATTCACCTTGCAGTTCTCAACTTATCTTAATGTTTTGCTTCCATTCCTTCATTCTTAGACAACTATAGGATTTGTGTTTTGTTGTCATTTCTGGTGTAGCAATTCGGAAACATTTTTGTGTTTTTAAAAAGACTTGTGTTTAAAATTTTTTACGTGAGTGATTTTTACTGTACTTATCAGCTTTCTGAAGCCCTCACCTTCCACCCTGCTGTCAGGCACTTCAACTTACTACGCGTCCGGGCTCGGCGATCTAGTTGTTCTCCTCACAATCTGGCTTTGGTCCTGAAGACTTCACGCGAAGGCCACTGTCATTTTGCACCTATATCCATTGCTGTCGTTCCTGGTCTCATTACCATGCTGTCGTTCCTGGGGGGGTCCTTAAATTTTTTATCCATTAGTCGTTCTGGTCTATTATCCATCTGTCGTTCCTGGTCCTATTATCCCATGCTCCGTCGCTCTGAGTCTATTATCCATGTTCTTCCTGGGTCTATTATCCATGCTGTCGTTCCTGTCATGTCCAGAAACCACACTAATGTTCATCGCAAACCCCAACCGCTTTCTGGTTCCTCACATCTCTTTCTGACTATCCGCCCTCCATTCAACGTCAGTACTTGCTCCAAGATAATACTATAGATCTTTATTATCCTATAATATTTAACTGTCATCCTCTAAAAGTATCAAATAATTGTCCCCATTCTGTGACTACAACCCTCATTCACTTCCACTCTATTCCTAGCAATTCAACCTCATTTTGACCTTAGTTCTCTTACGTTATTAATTTGTCCCTGCCTCAATTTCTTTGGTATTAGCTTAGATTAGCCATGATTTATGCATCAGTTCACTTCATTGCCATAATCTTCAGTCCTTTGCCCCCTTCTTCACAGCAGAACCCCCAACACTGTGGAGCAAAACTCTGCTATTTCATTTATGGTTCCTAAAAAAGGCAGAAACGTGCTGGAGAAGAGCACGAAAACTATGCTTTTACGTATGTCCATAAATCATAGATGGCTGCGTTGCTTATGGATTACCTTTTCTGCCTGCCAGTCCTACTACCATTTCCCTAATGTCAACTCACCCACTCTAGAAATTCTTCCCTCCCGTCAAACCTTACTGCCATCTACTATCCAGGTCTAAACTGAGTTATCCACTTCATATAAAGCACCAGAAGGAAACTCCTAATTTTCCAACTTCAAGATATACCTATGTAACTATAATTTGCCCCTAAAACTCCACTTTCACTTGGTTGGTTATAATTAGGAGTCCCGTTGAGAAACCAGGTCTTCCATTTGTTGTAACAAAAATGCAGTTGGCCGCATCCACTGACTCTTTCACAAAAGATTTCTCTGAAGCATGTGATGCTGTTTGACAGCATTTTACCCACAGTAGAACTTCTTTCAAAATTGAAGTGAATTCTCTCAAACTCTACCACTGCTTTAACAACTAAGTTTATGTAATATTCCAAAATCCTTTGGTGCTGTTTCAACAATGTTCACATTGTCTTCACCTACCAGGAGTACATTCCATCTCAAGAAACCACTTTCTTTGATTATCTATAAGAAGCGACTCCTTAGTTGCTAAAGTTTTATCATGAGGTTGCAGCAATTCAGGCTCCACTTCTAACTCTAGTTCTCTTATTATTTCTACCAATTTGCAGTAACCTCCTCCACTGAAGTTTTGACCTGGTCCAAGTCATCCAAGAGAGCTGGAATCAACATCTTTCAAACTCCTGTTAATGTTGATATTGTGACCTCTTCCCATGAATCATGAATGTCCTTAATGGCATCTAGACTGGTGAATCCTTTGCAGAAGGTTTTCAACTTACTTTGCCCAGATCCATCAGAGGAATCACTATCTATGGCAGCTATAGCTTTATGAAATGTATTTCTTAAATAGTAAGACTTGAAAGTCAAAATTATTCCTTGATCATGGGCTACAGAATGGATGACAAGTTAGTAAAGCATCAAAACGACACCGGTCTCCTTGCACGTTGCCATCATAGCTCTTGGGCAGCTAGGTGCCTTGTCTAAGAGCAGTAATATTTTGAAAGAATTTTTTTTTTTGTTTTTGTCTGAGCAGTAGGTCTCAATAGTTGGCTTACAATATTCGGTCAACCATGCTGTAAACAGATATGCTGTCACTCAGGCTTTGTTGTTTAAGTTATAGAGCACAGGTTTTGTTACAGTTATGCAGAACAGGCAGATGGGCTTAGCGTAATTCCTTGGATTTCTGGACTGGTAAATGAGCATTGACTTCAACTGAAAATCACCAGCTGCATTAGCAACTAACATGAAAGTCAGCCTGTACTTTGAATCTTTGAAGTCAGGCACTGACTTATCCTCTCCAGCTGTGGAAGTCCTAGAAGGTATCTTTTTCCAGCAGAAGGCTGTTTCATCTACGCTGGAAAACTGCTGTTTGGTGTAACCACTTCCATTCAGTATCTTAGCTAGATCTTCTGGGTAACTTGCTGCAGATTCTACATCAGCACTTGCTGCTTTACCTGCACTTTCATGTTATAGAGATGACTTCTTTCCCTCAACCTCATGAACCAACCCCTGCTAGCCTCACATTTCTCTTCTACAGCTTCCTCATCTCTCTCAGACTTACAGTTCTGGGTGAGGCTTCGGCTTGAAGGAATCTTAGGACTGGTTTGATCTACCTAGACCACTTCAAACTTGTCCACATCAGCAATCAGACTGCTTTACTTTCTTATCATTAGTGTGTTCACTGTAACAGTACTTTTAACTTCCTTCAAGAACTTTTCTTTGGCATTCACAACTTGGCTAAATGCAGCAAGAGGTCTAGCTTTCTCCCTTTACTGCCATTGGACATGCCTTCCTCACTAAGTTAAATCATTTTGACTTAAAATGAGAAATATGCAACTTGTCTTTTCACTTGAACACTTAGAGGTCATTGTAGAGTTATTAACTGGCCTAATTTCAATATTGTTGTATCTTGCGGGAATTAAGGGGGGAGGCCCAAGGAGCGGAAACAGGGGAGCGACTGTTCGTCAGAGGAGCGTCAGAACAACTGTCTACTAAGGCTTGCTGTCGGTTCGGAGGGAGGGTGGTTTTGTAGCCCACTCAAACAAATTGAAAATAGTTAAACATCAAGGATCAGTGGATCACAGATACTGTTAATAGATTACCACAATGATAAGTGAAAAAGTGTGAGAATATTTGCGACGCTGGTTAAGCCACAAATGTTGACTACAAGAGACATTAGGGACATGACGAAGTGAAAACATGTTACTGTAAGAAAAAAAGGGTGCGGATAAATTTGCTTCAATGCAGGATTGCCATAACCTTCAATTTGTAAATACTGTTAGTCCTCTGTGAAGTGCAATAAAGCAAGGAACAATAAAAATGAGGTATTGCCTGTACTTTTGCTTGTTAAAGAATGAACTGTTGTTAAAGCAAATTTCTGAGCTCAATTGAAAAAACTATTAGAACAAAACAATTTCAATATTTGCAAGTGTTCTTTAGTGACTATTATTTACATAAAAGTTTTGAAAATCAACCCTTTAAATGTAAGAGTAATCAACTATAAAAATAATAAAAGTATTAAAGGATCCCCTCTCCTTTTCATTATTGAAAAATTCTGTGACTTTAAGTTAGAGTTTAGGAAAAAAAAAAAGAGTAGATTAAAATGCTTAATTGTTCCTTTAAAAATATTTGCACAATGTTTAAACTTTATTATACTGAGAACATTTCACTAATGGCATAACAACTGAAGAAATAAGATAAACTTAAGCAAACATATGCTAACAGACTTACAGTTGGTGATATCAGGTGGTGCATAGCCATCATTCATATACATACTTGTGGGTTTTGCCACTTTCAAATAAACAAAATCAGATGTGTTCTTTAAGGCAGTTACTGCTTCTTCATGAGTAACTTCTTCTAAACATACGTTATTCACCTAAAAAAAAATCCCAAAAGACATTTATGACATTTTCACTTGTTTTCTGAGTTTTGGAAACAATTTCACGAAAAGAAAGGGAAAATAAGAGAGTGATTTAAGGAAAATAAAGGTATGCAGAAAGAAAATACCCATAGATCATACATCTATGATCTCAGTAAGTTGTTTATCATGACATGTGAAGTTGTTGTATGTTAACAGAATAGCCCATCTTGATTCCAGCCTCCATCCCTCCTATTCTCCCAGTCTTGATTTTCTCTCATTCTTAGGCATTCAGGAATGTGTGTGGATGCGTTTTAGACCTTTTCTTCTTTAAAGAAATGAAAACATATTAAAATTTTTGTTCTTACGTTAGGATTTTTAATGTAAGGTACCTTAGAGACTGTTCCATATTTGGACACAAATTAATAGAATTACTACACTGTTTAAAAAAAACACGGCTGCACAGTAGCCCATTGTGTGGCTATATCATAATTTATTAAATATTATATCTGTTAATATTCCTATATTTAAATAGGAAAACTATTAGAACACAAGTGAGATATTTAAATTGTTCTCCTACATGGTTTTAGTAAATTTATACTCACTACCACAGCATATGAGAGTGCCCATCTACTTAGACCTTTGCCAACATTAAACATTATCAACTAATTTTAAAAATCTGTAAAATGATGCATGTTTTAATTTATACATCAGTTTTAAATTTCTACTTTTGTAATACTCAAGTTGAACTTTTTTTTCAATTATTTGTTGGCCATTCATCTATCTTCTGTATAGAAATATAACTGATTTTTAGGTAGTAATGTATCCTGCAACCAGTACTAAACTAATTTATTAGTCTATTAGCAGGTTCCTTAGGATATTCTATATACAATATGATGACATCTGCAAATATAGTTTTATTTCTTCCTTTCTAATCTGATTTTTTTTCCCCTTTTTCTTTTCTTATTGCCCTGGACAGAATCTCAAGGATAAGACTGATTAGAAGTGGTAGTTTGTGTCTTTCTAGCAATCTGTCAATTTCATCTAAGTTACCTCAGGTATTAGCACATAGTTACTCACAACAGTCTCTTGTTTTCCCTCTTTCATTCTTGCTTTCAGAAATTTCAGCCTTCTCTCTTTTTACTTGGCTGGTCTGAAGTTTTTCATTTTGTTGATTTTTATCAAAGGACCAACTTTCAGTTTTTGTCTATCTTCTCTACACCTTTTCTATTACCTATTTCAGTAATTTCTGCTCTAATCTTTATTATTTCCACCCTTCTGTTTGCTTTAGATTTAGATTGTTCTTCTCTTTGATACATTTTTTTTTGTAAATGAATAAAACATTATCAATGTTTCTGTTTTAAATTACCTTGTATTAACAATATTAATATATTTTTCATTTTCCTAATTTGTACCTTTGTAATTGACAACAGCAGTTTTTAATACTTTCACAAAAAAATTTAAAGGTCACAGAAGAATAATTTCCCCTCATTGATTATGAACATTGCTTTGCAGAGTTTCAGCAGCATGGTCATTTTTATGGCTCCACATTACCATGCGAAGCAAGGACGGCCTGCATTTTGAAATACACATTAAACAGCTGTGGTATACTGCTGAAACACACATTCAATAGCTGTGGTATACTACTGAAACACACATTCAATAGCTGTGGTATACTGCTGAAACACACATTCAATAGCTGTGGTATACTGCTGAAACACACATTCAATAGCTGTGGTATACTGCTGAAATACACATTCAATAGCTGTGGTATACTGCTGAAATACACATTCAATAGCTGTGGTATAACATATTCAATAGCTGTGGTATACTGTTTCTTTGGTGGCCTAAAATAAGCCATGCATCCTGGTATTCACACCCTTGTAAAAATCTCTTTCTACACTGAATTTTGCTTGACCACATAACTAGCTTTAGCCAATGAGGTACAGTAATTGCGAAGGAAAGAGAGGATTGATAAAAACAATACATCAGTGCTTATCTTCTTTGGAAAGCTCACTTTTGGAACCTAGCCACCATCCTGTGTGAAACTCAACCTAACCACGCTAAGAGGCCACTGGAGAATTAAGCACCTGGCTAACAGTGCCAGTTGAGTTCCCAGCTAAGCGCCAACTTGCCCACTGTATGTGTGGGCCAACCTAGCAGTGGATTTTGTGGCCTAGTAAAGCAAAGACAAGTTGTTCCTGCCAAGCACTATCCAATCTGAAGAATTATAAACAAATACATGAGTGGTGTTTTTTAGCCATTAATCTTTGTGTTTTCTCACATATCACTAGATAACTGATACAAGAGCTGACACAATTTGCTAAGGGATTCAATGTGGAATGTGTAGGATGATGATCCCAATGTTTTAGACCAGAGAAAAGTTATTTGACCATTTACCAGAGTCTTGATCTACATGTTAAAAAACAGTGACTTTGGGAGTGAATAGTAAAGAGGAGAAAATGTACAAGGAGGGAGTCCTGGATTACTTCAACGTTTAGAGGTTAGGGATATGAGGAGGCACCAGACCTCAGAACGACAGACTGAAGAGTGGCTACTAAGAAGAGAAATACCAAGATAAAGGGTGACTGTTAGGCAAACGAAAAAGTGTTACAAGAAGGAGGAAGGTGTGTCCAACTCCAGCCAGATCAGTCAATTAAGACAAGGACTGAGCACTGAATGATTTCAGTGTAATTAAGAGAAGAAAAGCCTCATTAAAAGTTGATTTAAAAGAGAATGAGTCTTGCCACAGTGGTATCAGCACAGGTTGCTGTCTCCTACCACCAAAACCAGTTCTAGAGAAACGATAAAAGTAAAAGTGAGAAAATTAGTGGCAACAGATGGCTGTCTTGACTCTGCGTTTGCGTGTGAGTGATGGTGAGACGATGCTGGTTACAGTTCGAGGAAACAGTGGTGATCTTAGCTGTGAAAGGATAAGTTAGAGAAACGTAGTTCAAGTTCTGCTCTTTCCTTTTCCCTATCATTAACTAAAAATACAGTCTCCTTGCAACAATAAACAGTACTCAACAGGATGCAGAACAAAGGAATCTTATACATATTGCTGATGTAAATTTTTACAAGCAGCCTGCAAAACAACAGGGTGGTTTTTAAAAAGAATGCTACTAGCAGAATAATCAACTATCCCGTGACAGTCAAGTAAAATTCTTGTACACGTTCACCAGAACACACAGCACCTCTTCCTAAGAAAATTATTCATAATACCAAAAAAAAAAGACTTAAAATAGATTTTTAAAAACCAGTACTTGCTAGTATATTTTTAAAAACCAACATCCTACCATGCCAGAACCAGTTTCTGTGCCTTTTCAGATTCTGCTAGGCCTTGGCTGCTTGCTCAGTGGAGAGTCCTGACTACTACTTTCATCTTGCCTCCTGCCCTTCCCAGTTTTCTCAGCTCCTTCTGGCTGGGACTGGGCATGGCTGATGTGTTCCACACAGTGAGAGCCATAGCACGTCACAGACCCACGCCTGCCCTGTCTATACCCCTGCAGCTCCACCATTTTTGGGCTTGGGTGAATGCTGTGCCACGGAGGATAGGAGTTGGCTTTCCTAGAAACTGTGCCCAGGGGAGCTGGGTAACACAATCCAAAAGCTTGGGACAAATAACCCCTAGGGGGTAGACAAGAGACAGGAGAATAAAAGGGGCCAGCAGATAAACCTTTCTTTCATTTCTCTGGATGGCTGGATGTAAGGTTTATGATGCTTGGATGGTTTCTACAGTGTCTGCCTGGAAGACTATTCTACATGACAAGCAACAAGCTACCTTATAAAATTATAGCCAGCTCAGACACTTTCTACCTTCTACTGGCTCTCATTCATTCTCTGCTTCACTTCTCATTTCCACTCACTCTTGCCTTCTTGAGATCACATCTCCCAATAACACCTTAGCACATTAGCTTTTCTTCAGATTCTGTTTCCCTAAGGAACATGGGCTGAGACAGTTATTGATTGATATGGTATGGCTCTGTGTCCCCACCCAAATGTCATCCTGAATTGTAATCCCCACGTGTTGAGGGAGGGACCTTGTAGAAGGTGATTAGATCACGGAGGTGGCTCCCGATGATACTCTCTTGATAGTGAGTGGGTCTCATGAGATAAGACTGTTTTATAAGCATCTGGCATCTCCCCTGCTGGCATGTGAAGAAGGGTGTGTTTGCTTTCCCCCACCCCCAACACCATGATTGTAAGTTTCCTGAGGCTGGTGAGTCCATTAAACCTCTTTCCTTTATAAATTACCCAGTCTCGGGTAATTCTGCATAGCAGTGTGAAAACAAACTAATACACTGATGAAGATTAGACAAATAAATTGCAGTATAGACATACAGTGGAATATTACATAGAGATAAAATGAATGAACTTTAGCTCTAAGCAATGATATGGGTAAGTCTTAGTAAAACAATATTAAGCAAAAAAAAATACTGGAGACGAAAGTCTCATACAGTGCAATAGCGTTCTGAAAAACCTTCAAAACAATACTAAACAAAATTATTTAGGCGTATGTATGTAATTAAACTTTTTTTTTTTTTTGAGATGGGCTCTCACTCTGTCACCCAGACTGCAGTACAGTAGGACAATCACAGCTCACTGTAACCTCAACCTCCTGGGCTCAGGTGATCTTCCCACCTCAGCCTCCTGAGGAGCTGGGACTATAGGTGTGTATCACCAGGCCTGGCTAATTTCTGTATTTTTTGTAGAGACAGGGTTTTGCCATGCAGACCAGGCTGGTCTTAAACTCTTGGGTACAAGCAATCTGCCTACCTCAGCCTCCCTAAGTGCCAAGATTACAGACAGGTGTGAGCCACCATACCTGGCCTAATTAAATAATTTTTAAGAAGCAAAGGAATAAGAAACACAAAATGGTAGATGTTCTAATTCTTGTGCTGGGTAATTACTAGATTTCATTATATTATTAAGTGAAGTAAAACACAAAAGGGTCATACATAAACAAATGATGACGCTGTTTTATAAATCTAAGGATTATGATGAAACACTGTGCATACAAGCCCTCAACCCTTCAACAACGAAGGAATAAAAGGAAAATGGAGGAGGAGCTGGCAGAGAAAACAGAAATGACAAATAAAGATATTACCAAGAATCATTTTTTAGGATTTGACACAGCAAGGCTAGGATTTGCTAATTTAAATATCATTTAGACCTTTTTGGTATGGAGAAATTCCAGTATCTATTAGAAAAATCAGACAACAAAATGATTTAAAAGACAACAGATTTCTATACTTACTGCTAGAAGCTTATCTCCAATCTGGAGTTTGCCATCCTTATGTGCTGCACCTCCTTCAATTATTTTGGTTACATAGATGCTATTATCCCCAGGAATATGCTGATTTCCAACACCTCCAGCAATGCTGAACCCAAGACCTGTTTGGAAAACACTAGTTTTAGATTCTCTTCTATAAATATGAACTTAAGCCCAGAAAGAAATGGTTGAAAACTACAAGGTAATGATTCCACCACACTAATATTTTTTAAAATAGAAAAGAATCCATTTAGTTATCTACTAGTATATGTTCTGCAATCAAGGGACACTTATAAATATAGCTGCTCCTAGAGTTATGAATAGATTCCTTTTATCCCACGTGTTCCTTCTTAGTATCTTCTCGCAAATGCACTTGTTATTCCAAAGTGACATTGCAAAATTATGTTTTACTTTTGTTTCCATCATAATTACGCTCACCTACACTTTCATTATTTTCACTAGAATAAAACAATTGAGAAGAAATAATAAGATCGTCTGGTGGTGGTGGGCAGAACCAACAGGCTTTAAAAATGTGAATACTTTGGCTTTTTTTCAATATTCTATGAATTAACAACTTTAAGTAAGGAATTTCTGTAATTCTTAAATCCCATAGCTCCAATATCAGAAAATTTCTCAGCTCTCCATTCCTTTTTCATTTGTTGAAATCCTCCCTCTTCCATGAAGCCACATATTTAAACTAATATTTCCATTTATCCTCAATCCATCAATGTTTTAAAAATTCAGAAATCACATCTTTTTTTTTTTTTTTTGAGACGGAGTCTTGCTCTGTGGCCCAGGCTGGAGTGCAGCGGCCGGATCTCGGCTCACTGCAAGCTCCACCTCCCGGGTTCCCGCCATTCTCCTGCCTCAGCCTCCCGAGTAGCTGGGACTACAGGCGCCCGCCACCTTGCCCGGCTAGTTTTTTGTATTTTTTAGTATAGACGGGGTTTCACCGTGTTAGCCAGGAGGGTCTCCATCTCCTGACCTCGTGATCCGCCCATCTCGGCCTCCCAAAGAGAAATCACATCTTAACAGTCCTTTACTGCAGATGTAACTGCTCATAATACATATTAAAAGCACTTCTTCTTTTAACTTAGGCTGTGTATCTGCATTTAAAGTACTTTGTAGATTAATTATCACAAGTTAATATCAATACTATACTTAACTTCAAAGTATTCCAGGACACAAATATTTCACTCTTAACGCTAGAAGTCTTTAATGTAATAATACTTAATACCAATAGGGAGAAATCCACTTATAAAACAAGTAGATATTTTGTTCCTTACTTTTAAAAATTCTTAAAAACGTGCTGAGCAAATATTGAACATAAAAATCATAAAAACTTATAAATCTATACATATGCTCACTGAGGTAAAATGTATAAAATGTATACATTGACAAACATAAGAATTTTGGGCCAGGTGCAGTGGCTCACACTGTAATACCAGCACTCTGGGGGGCTGAGGTGGGAGAACTGTTTGAGCCCAGGAGTTTTGAGACCAGCCTAGGCAATGCAGGGAGACCTCCGTCTCTACAAAACCTAAAAAAATCAGCCCAGTGTGGTGGCGCGTGCATGTAGTCCAAGCTACCTGGGAGGGTGAGGTGAGAGGATCGCTTGAGCTCAGGAGACTGAGGCTGCAGTAAGCCATGAATGCACCACTGGACTCCAGCCAGGGTGACAGGGCATAACCCTGCCTCTAAAAACAACCCCCCACCCCAAAAATAGGAACTTTTCAAATGCTGCAATCTTGGTAGAAATGTAAATATTCTAAAATGCAACGTAAGACAAAAATCAGTAGAAATAACAGAGAAATTAAAATTCACTCAAGTTCTATAGAATATTACTATTATTGTTCATCTTGAAATCTATGTCACAGATAAAGTTCATAGGAATACTTAACTCAGAGATTTCTTAATTTATCTTAGTTTGACTTACCACATACCTTTAGGACCTTTAATGAGCTTTATTTCCATTATTTTTTCTGATACTGGTTTCCTTCTTTTTACATACAAGCGTACGATAGACCCTGCTTCTTTCAACGCTTCAACTGCTTTGCTATGTGTTACATCACGAACATCTACTTCATTTACTCGTAATATACAGTCATTGACCCTGAGAAAACAATTAAATATAAAAAATAAAAATTAAATATAATGTAAATATTAATTTTCCACTTCACAAATTTTTTACTTTTTTTAAGGTAAAGAGAATTATAAATAATTCTGGAGTAATTCCAGAAAACACAAATGAAGAAAGTATATCAAAAACTAATATAAACAAATACAAACATTTCCCAAGGGTCAGCAAAAGGAACAAAAGAAATAGTGAAAATAATAGATTATACAAAAATATTAAACAATAATTACAGCTACCATTTGTATACTTACTGCATGCTTATTCTGTGTCGGCGTTAAGATATACTTTATAAAAATAGCAGACATTTATTTAGCACTAATGACATGCTAGACACTTTCTTGGTGTTTTAACCCTCATGACGCCTCTAAGCTAAATATATATTTTAATCTGTATTTTACAGATGGAGAAATTGAGGCAAAAAGAATTTAAATAACTTTCCTAAGGTCACCCAGATAGTAAGTGACATAGCTGTGATTCAAAGATAAGAAAACTGAGGCTCACATCATGAGTTTAAGGTCACAGAGATAGTGTGAAAACTGAGATAAACTAAATATAATTTTCTGAGTGCCTATTCCAACCTATATATTAGACATAAAAGAATGAAGTTATTCTTTGAAATTTATATAAAGATTAGGTCACTTAATTCAAAAGTTCTGTAGGTAAATAACTTAAAATTTGTCATAGTGTTATGTTTTCTAAAAGTTTGATTTGTTCCTAGTCTTAGCGTTTTCCCTAGTTCTGGTCTCTTTGACTGCATGGTATTCCATCAGGAAAAAAAGATGGTCATCTCAAATTAGGTAGAAAGGGTAAACAAAATATAATTAAAATATTAAAACTGGTCTGGACAAGCTTCTATACCTAACAGAAAGTAAATGTCTACATTTACGTGAATTGTTAAATGATTAATTTTTATATCAATTTGATTTCATTAATATACCATCTGTCATATCCAGTGAGAATTAAAGCTTAGAAATCGAAAAACTGCATAAGGTACCAACATCCTTAAAATAAGATGCTGTTTTTAACAGACTATATAAACTCTTTAGTCCTAAAACTTCAGGCTATTTTAACAACAAACAAGAAAATAGGGAAAATGCCGTAATTTATGACCCCCCAAAAAATCAAAGTTTGCAAAATATATCTTCCAAAACGGAACACATTTAAACAGAGACAAATGTTATTTTCATCTAGTCAATTAAGAAAATATATCACTTAAAATTTGCATATACTTTAGTCTTTGTGGTGTGGGATTCAACTTGGATGTGTGATCCTCTATTCTCCTTATCTTAAATAAGTTTATATACATGTTTCCCAACCAGAGAGGAAATGGAAAATATTTTGTGAGCAAATTTGAAAATACAAAGGGAAACTCATGATTTCTATAAATATGTTCACAAACATTTAAACCATCAACCAAATTTATCATTCAAAATGTTGTAATATCTAAGATAAAACTGGAGTCCTAAATGAACACAGGAAAACAACATTTGGAGCATAATTATCGCATTCATTGACTTGAATGTTGTTAAAGCATTCACCCTATGTTAGTTTTTATGATAGTGTTTGTTATTTGTATTTATTCCTTATCCAGTCTGCTTCAAGAAAAATACACAAAGTGGATTCAGCATCACAGTGAAAATCGCAAAACATACCGCAATCTTCCATCTTGGGCGGCTGCTCCCCCCGTGATAATTTTGGTAATGAAAATACTTGAGTCATCTCCAATATGTGGGTTGTCTGTACCTCCTGCAATGCTGAAACCAAGCCCTGAATTTCCCTGAGGAAAGAAGAAAAAAAATTGAGACTGAATGTGATTTATCTTTATTGATAGGTTCCTGTCATTAAAGGATGCAGAAACTGTACTAACATAAGGAACACAACAAATAAAGGTATATGGGTGAGTAAAATATAAAGATTCTAAATTATGGACATGTTCTGAAGGAAAGTCCTTTCAGAGGCATTACTGCTGAACAGGTGAGGTTCAAGAAAATATACCAAGGACTTCTGAAGTCTACTCCACAGTTCTTTCTTTAAAAGTATGTGCAACTTGTCGCTGGATTAAGTCACCCATCTGCAGAGGTGTCACTCTGTCTGTTTCTTTCAGACTGCACCTCAGCCATATTTGGTAGGGCACATCTCTCCTATGAGACAAATGCTGAAGTGATCTTCCTGCTGTTCTTTCTGAGCAGGTAAAACACACATATTGTTTTAGCCTTTGAAAAAAAGGGGTGGCGATGGTGCTTTTCTTCTGCTAACCTGACATCGGCTTATTTTTAAATGACCGAATTGTAGCCGCTAAGTGACAGCTGCCATCAACCCATGACATGTTTAACCAACACATCCGATTAGCGAAAGGCGTTTTTCCAGTTTTTCATACTAAAGTCCAACCTGAGAACACTGGTGAATTTTCTGGACAGCAAAGTAAATTTTGCCAAAGGAGCTCTACTTTTTGCTTGTTTTATGAACTGGAGAAACAAGATTTCTGAATATTTTCTTCACAGAAAGGGTCTGACTGCCACAAAAAGCCTTCAAAGAGAATTGATTTAAGCAATGGTATTAAAAAATGTTTATTTCTGCAAGAATGTTTTAACTGAATTTCAGGCAACTCAAGTAAGCAAATATATGTGGACCTATTATTTAACTGGTAGTATTAAACAGTGTAAACACTCACTCTACCACCATTTGTCTTAAAATTCTATTTTAATAAAAAAAGTTTTTTCAATCTAACTTCATGAATTACCTGAATCTTAAGAACAGTACCAGTGGATTATGGGAGGTTACCAAGTTACTTAGGTACTCAAGTTCTTCAACCAGTGAAAAATACAACGTATAGTCCTGACTAAACAAAAGGAATTTAAAAGGCCCTGGGAAAGAATAAAAAAATCAGTAATATAAAAAGTTAGGAGACATCACAAACTACTGTATTAAAATATGTACAGTACATTAATACTGTGCTTACTTGAATGTTACTTCAGTAGCCACCTAACAGGTGATACAAATTTAAGTAGAAGGCAATAAAGATATACATGTAAGACTCTCTCAGATTTATTTTTCTCAGACTTGATTCCAATATAAACAAATCTAATTATCTAGGATTTTAGTCTAGAATATACACACATTTAGTTACTTAAGAATCTGCTTGTGTGAAACACTAAATTTTCATAAAATGCGAGCCAGATAAGGTGGCATTACTATTATAACTTACAATAAAAATTGAATGCAGATACTCTTTTTTCTTTTTAGACGGAGTCTCACTCTGTCACCCAGGCGGGAGTGCAGTGACGCGATCTTGGCTCACTGCAACCTCTGCCTCCCGGGTTCAAGCGATTCTCCTGACTCGACTAGCTGGGATTACAGGTCTGCACCACCACACCTGGCTAATTTTAGTATTTCTAGTAGAGGCGGAGTTTTGCCATGTTGGCCAGGCTGTCTTGAACTTCTGGCCTGAAGTGATTCACCTGCCTCGGCCTCCCAAAGTGCTGGGATTACAGGCGTGAGCCACCGTGCCGGGCCTGAATGCAAACGTTCTTAAGGAAAAAAACATATCTTAAGAAAATTTACACATCTGCATTACACCCTTAAGTCATTTTCTGACTGGGGGAGTATACCATAGTAAGTTTTTAATACAGCTCTGTCCGTTAGAAGTATGGTTATTTTGCTAGAAAAGAAAATTGATACAATGACCATGTTACTAGTATACCACTTACTTAATACGAACAATATTTCATTATCATATACATATAAACAATACAAACAAAATTAAAAAGCAAGAAAAACCTGAGTAACTATCATAATCTAGAGGGGTCTAAGGAGACAGGATAATTAAACGTAATGTGGTTTCCTGGATGGGCCTCTGGAAGACAATAACATAAAAAGTAAGGAAACAGAGACTTCGGTTAATAATAACGTATGAACATAGGTGTGTTAGTTCAAACAAATGTACTCTAGTAATATAAGATGTTAACAATAGAGGTGGCCGAATCCAGGGTAAATGGAAACTCTTGGGACTATCTTTACAACTTCTTTGTAAATCTAAAACTACTTTAAAATAAAAGTTTGTTAAAAAAATAAGGTTACTAAAGAAAAGGCACATGTTTTGAAAATACCTTGGCCAATTTTATGAACTGGGAACTTAGAAAATATCGTATAGTTCTGTTTTTGAAAGATCTCCCTTGAATTCTATATGAAAAAGCAGTATATTGCAAAGTTCTTTAAACAACAGATTAAGGTAGTAGTTTTTACCCTTTCAAGTGTGATTTCTTCATATTCATAATCTGCATCTGTGCCATTAACCTACAGGGGAAAAGAAAAGCAGCTCAGAAACTTAAGAGTGTAAAATCTGAAATGGCAAGACAAAATTTTTGTATGATTTATTAATGAAAACCTGTTAAATGCAACAGTAATCAAATACAATATTCATTTTAAAAAGTCTGGGGAAGATTTTCAAGGAATGGAAGGATACAAATGTGATTAATGAACTGACAACATTCGTGGTACCATGACTTTCAAATCCAGAATAGGCACATTCAGCTTTTAATAGTTTCGACCTCTGATCCTTCTCTGTCTTGTTCCACGCATCTATCAGTTGCCAACTGTTCCTGATTTGAACACTTTAATTTTTCTGAAAATCATCACCTCTTCACGCTCATTTCTGACACCTTTCTTCAGGCCTTGTTAAACCTCCTCTGGAATGCAGTACTGTCTATGCAGTCTGCCTGATTGCTTAGATTAGTATTCCCCATTGCCCAAATCACTGTGTTTTAAACAGTTGGTTCTTTTTAAAGAACATAACCTACTTCCTCTAAAACTTTCAAAACTCTCCCTTTCTCGAAATATCCAAACTCTAGGGCTTGGTAATCACGTCTTTGAATGAACTGACCCCAATGTACCACTCACCATTCTTCACCTCTTCATAAACCTTACACACTATCCAGTCTGAATGACTTGCTCTTTCCATTACACATCCTACAATTTCCCACTTCGACATCTGGAAATTTTGTGCTTCCTCGGTCACAAATTTCACTTACATGTTTTATGTCAAAATCAGAGTCACCATTCAAGATATCTTGGTCACAATTTATCTCCCTCCAATTTATTTCCTAGTCTCTGCTCAAAGAAGTTAACTCCTACAGTAAAGGCCACTGGTGAAACAAGTCCCTGGAATCAGATGAACATGGGTTTGAATCCTTGCTTTAACATTTCTCGTGATATGAGGCTGGGCAAAACTCTAGCTAAATCAAATGGGGACTGTGGTAAATTCTACTTCTGAACATGGCTCACATCTTCATTCCAGACATTCTTTTGCAATATGACTAAATCATCCTACCATCAATAGGAGTCTCTTTCCCCTCCCATTAGATCTAGGCAAGTCCTGTGACTAGCTTTGACTGAAAATAAATGTGGCACAAACGATGCCGTGTGATTTCAGAGACTAGGTCATCTGATGCCTGGTAGTATTTGCTTTTGCTTGGAATGTATTTTCTTTAGAACCCAGCAGCTATAACATGAGGAAAACTCAAGCAGCCTACAGGGAGATCTAAACAACGGAGAACCAAAACCCTTGGCCCAAAACTCCAGCTACACTTCTAATCAGCAGTCAGCACCAACTATCAGCCTTGTGAATAAGGCTGTTTGGACCTCCCAGCCATGTCCAGTGCCCTAACCCACACCATGTAAAGCAGAGTCATCCAGTTCATTATGAGAAAACATGAACTGTTGTTCTTTTAAGCCGCTAAGCTTCAGGGTAGTTTGTTATGCAACGATAGATAACCACAACAGAAACAACAAAACCTACGTAAGCTACTTTGCTTTCTTAACCGTACTATAAAAAGTAGCCCTTAGTTCAGGTCTAACATAGGGACCAGCAGTTTCTTCCTTGAGAACTTCTGAAGCCCATCTCTACTACCCTTTTGGGTTCTTAACTCTTGTGATTCTCCTGGATTCAAATCCTATTACTATTTTGTTCCCTCTTCTTTTTCTCATCTAAAGACATTTTCCTCTTATAGATTATATGTTATAAAGGCATTATATATTTATACGGAAAGAGTTGGGATTTCACTCTGCTACCCAGGCTGGAATGCACTGGCATAACCATAGCTCGTTGTGGCCTCAAACTCCTGTCTTCAAGTGATCCTCCTGCCTTAGCCTCTTGAGTAGCTGAGACTACAGGCACATGCCACCATGCCTGGCTAAGTTTATTTTTATCTGTTTTCCGTAGAGATGGGGTCTGTGTTGTCCAGGTGTTCGCTTGCGTGCTCTCTCTCTCTGTCTCTCTCTCTCTCTCTCTCTCTCACACACACACACACACACACACACACACAATTTCTTTATCTCAGCTTAGGAGGAGTAACTTCAAGAGATGTGTTGATCATGTCTGTGCATCTACAGTATAGGAGGGTTACACATGTGTATATCACACCCACTTGACTGGAAGTCCTTTGTTAAGAGTAAAATTTTCATTTGCTGCAATATCCCCTTTCTTATTCTAAAGGTCATTTGTATCATCTTGTTTCTTGACGTTATTGACGAATCTATTACATTTCATGGTATTACTTTGTTTTTAACAATTCCTTATTCCTTTGATTTTCTAAAAAAGACTTTTGAGTTGAATGCTCAATTTATGCTTACTCTATTCTGCTTTTAAAAGCCTCAAAGTTTACAAACTTTCCTTGGCATATGGATTAGGCCAAATCCCGTAACTGCTAGCTGCACTGGGCTCCATTTTTGTTCATTTGTTTATTTCTAAATCATCTAAATTTTATTTTGGAAAACATCTCCAAATGAGTGTGCTCATATGGCCCTTTTGGCATTAATGTAAAATTCAGATTTCTGCCTCCAGGAATCTTAGATTTTTCACCTCTAAGTCTCCTCACAAGGTAGGAGCTCAGTAAATGTTCCTGGTGCTTAATTTAACGCCAATTCATCACGCAGGTTTCTAAGCAGCACAGAAGGGGGGTTTTTAGGTAGCATTGACTACTTTTAAAAAGGTGAAACATGAGGCGGCCATACAGACCACCAGTAACTTTATTCCTTAATCCTCAATTGTTTGAAACTCTGATAATTTCAAATACCGAGACAATTCTATAACATTAAACATACTCACACTAAAGCTTCTAAGGGCCAAGAGTATATTATCAAAAACATATTTGCGTGTGTGTGTGTGTGTGTGTGTGTGTGTGTGAGATGAGAAAATTTACAATCTACTCTCAGAAATTTTCAAGTGTACAATACACTGTTACTAACTCTAGCTGCCATGTTATACAACATATCTTGTGAAGTTACTTCACGTAAATTGAAATTTTGTATCATTTGACCACCATTTCCTCAATCCCTCCCCACCATCCCCAGGTAACCACCACTCTACTCTCTGCTTTTTGACTTTTTAACATTTGATCGTGCAGTATTTGCCTTTCTGTGCCTGGTTAATTTCATTTAACATGTCATCCAGGTTCATCCATGTTGTCACAAATGACAGAATTTCCTTCTTTTTAAAGGCAGAAGAGTATTCCACTCTGTATATATACCACATGTTCTTCACCTACTTCATGTGTCAACAGACACTTAGGTTGTTTCCGTATCTTGGCAACTATGACTAATGCTGCAATGAACACTGGAGTCAGGTATCTCTCTGATGTATTGATTTTCTTTCCTTTGGATATGTACTCAGAAGTAGGATTGCTGATCACATGGTAGTTCTATTTTTAATTTCTGAAGAACCTCCACACTGTACTATGCAATGGCTGTACTAATTTACATTCCCACCAACAGCATAGAAAGGTTCCCTGTTCTCTATACCATTGCCAAGACTTATCTTGTCTTTTTTATAACAGCCATCCTAATGGGTGTGAAGTGGTATCTCACTGTGGTTTTAATATGCATTTTCCTGATGATTGGTGATGTTAAGCATTTTAAAATATACTTGCTGGACATTTAGTCTTTTTGTGTATATGCAATGTCCTTTCAGATCCTTTGTCCATTTTTAAAAATGGGTTATTTGTTTTCTTGCTATTTATTCATATTTTTAACTTTGTTGCCCAGCCTGGAGTGCAGTGGTGTGATCACAGCTCACTGCAGCCTTTAACTCCTGGGCTCAAGCAATCCTTCCACCTCGGCCTTGTGAGTAGCCAGGACTACGGGCATGCGCCATCGCGCTCGGTGAATTTTTAAAATTTTTTTCTGGAGACAAGGTCTCATTACATTGCCCAGGCTGGTCTCAAACTCCTGAGATCAAGTTATCCTCCCACCTTGGCCTCCCAAGGGCTGGGATAATGGGCGTGAGCCACCAGGCCTGACAATGTTTTCTTGCTATTGATCTGAGTTCCTTATAAATTTTTTATTAACCCCTTGTCAGACTTAGAGTTCACAAATATTTTCTCCCACTCTGTAGGCCGTCTCTTCACTCTGTTGATTGTTGCTTTTGCTGGGCAGAAGCTTGTTGTAATCCCATTTACTTATTTTGTTTTCACTGCCTATGCTCCTGGGTTTCAAAGTATCTGCTCGGTCCAATGTCGAGAAGTTTTTCCCTTATGTTTTCTTTCTTTCTTTCTTTCTTTTTGAGATGGAGTCTCACCCTGTCGCCCAGGCTGGAGTGCAGTGGCGTGATCTGGGCTCACCACAAACTCCACCTTCTGGGTTCAAGCGATTCTCCTGCCCCAGCCTCCCAAGTAGCTGGGATTACAGGTGCACGCCACCATGCTCAGCTAATTTTTGTATTTTTAGTAGAGACAGGGTTTCACCATGTTGGCCAGGCTGGTCTCGAACCCCTCACTTCAGGTGATCTGCCCACCTCGGCCTCCCAAAGTGCTGGGATTACAGGCGTGAGCCTCTGTGCCCCACTGCTTTTCCCCGATGTTATCTTTCAGCAGTTTTACAAAGTCAGTTAACATTTAAATCCTGAATCCATTTCAAGTTGATTTTTGCATATGGTATGAGATAAGGGTCCAATTTCATTCTTCTGCACGTGGATATCCAGGTACTGTAATACCATATATTGAAGAAACTGTCCTTTCCCCAATGTGTGCCCTTGTCATTTTTGTTGAAGATCAGTTTACCATAAATGTGCAGATTAATTTCTGAGCTCTCAATTCTACTTCATTGTGCTGGTCTGTTTTTGTGCCAGTACCACGCTGTTTTCATTACCACAGCTCTGCGGCGGATTCTGAGATGAGGCAGTATGATGCCTTAAACTTTGTTCTTTTTGTTCAAGATTGCTTTGGCTATTTGGGGTCTTTTGTGGTTCCATTTCAATTTTAGAAGCATATTTTCTACTTTTACGAAAACTATCACTGAAATCT